CTCAATAAGAAGAATCCCACAGGTTATCTGTAGTGATGCCAGACCGTTCGATCTCGGCAGTATACCTTTAATTAGTTAAACTGCATGTTTGATGTATGTGTATCATCTCTTGAGGGCCCTTTGGGCAGTCGTTTCACTAATGTGGTTCATCCACAATTCTCTGGCAAGGCATTCAGTATGTCCTGCGCATCGGATTTTAATTTCTTGCATGGTCGCAAAAACATATTGCATAGCGCTCAACTGATAGAGAGGCTGATTTTTTTCTATTAGCAGCGAATAGGCAGCGTTTCGGCTAGCGCTTGCTCTTCAACTTTCGTCAGTGATCACCTTCTGCATCCGTACTTTATTGCTCTCGGTAGATCTGTCATATAAATCCTGAAATGAGAAGCCTTGGTGCAGTGCTGTGATTATTGTGCCTTTAAAATAAAGCACTATAACTACATAAACTATGATATTACTTTACAAGAAAATGCTTCTTCAAAACTTGACAAAGGATTTGTTTAATTGTCAATGACATTTAACTTTCAGGATGATATAAGGAGAACTCCGCCAGCACTACCTCCGGCCAGTCTAAAAAACCGTATTAATCCATTTTATTCGAGATCATCCTTGTCGAATTACCGATTTCCGCCTGCCGTCTATGCTCTTTATCCTAGCTTATTACCAAAGGATAACGCAAGCTTGTATTGCTCACAAGCTTCGCTACAATTCCAGAGCACATGTGTACAGGGGAAAAAATTACGATACGACCTAAAGGTATGCATCGATTTTAAATGCACTAAAATCAAAACATGTGAAATCCGTCATTGTTTTTCAAATGTAAATGACAGAAGATGCGAGCTGAAAAATGACCGATGAAGAAAGGGAATCGAATGGACATCATTTTGAAGTAAAGCAGCTAAATTTCAGCAAAATATACATGCATCTAAGATTTACCCCCATCCCTTCCCATCTTTCTTTCACCTCACTCCGCTAACTTGCTTCTCTAAACAGTTCTTTAGCTATCAGATAAGTCAATTCCGTTACTCCTACAATTGTCATGTGTGTTTTTTTGTTTAGAATTTCTGTCAGGAGTATGCAGACACATGCGCGGTACCGAACAACAACAATTATCCGGATGGTTCTGATGGACGACCGTATGGACACGGCCAGAAGCAAACAGGCGGCGCGGTGGGTGTTGGAAGCAGTTATGCTCTAGGACTCGGTCCGGTACCCGGTTTTGAGGTAGTCAGCAGCCAGGGCGTCGATGTCGGTCCTGTGCCTGGTTTGGATGAGGTAAAATTAAAAAACACTGTGAAATGGCTATTTTTTGCGCTTTTTTTTTCAGAATTACAAAACTATAGTTGTATAAAGCATCCGATGCAATAAAAATTTTTAGATTGGGGGCTTGGTGGTGAACCGAGGTGCTGAACTTGGCATTCTTGGCGAACGT